GAGGTCAAATCTGAAAGCAAACCTGGGCTTGGCGCCCTGTCTGCACTAGCTGGTGAGAGCTGAACTTTCTCTCTACTCTTCACTCATCACTTGGGATCTCAGCACCAGTGGGTTAAAAAGACTTTTTCCTATTCAGAGTTTTGGTGGGGAAAAACGTGTGAATAACCAAACTCGCTCTAACAGCCTGCTCCCCCAGCTCAACGTGGCACGTCTTCTCTTGAGGCAGGCAGGGCTTCCAGAGCTACAGCAGCGAGTACGTGTTGTTATTTCCCAGGCACAGGTGGAGTCCTGCCTTCCACTCTTCCCGGAGACCCGAGGCTCTGCTGTGTTGAAATGTGTTTCCTCTGTGGCGCCCTGCACTTGGTCTTGGATACTTCTAACTGGAGAGGACACCACCGCCTCTCCCGTCACGTGGACACACGGCCACTTTCACAGCCCCCACGGAGAGCACTCACAGTACTTACAGGAAATTCACACACTAATAACTCCCATACAAATTGAGTACGGTTCTTAAAACTAAGGAGCTAAACACTGGCTCTGACTACTGACGGTTTATTCATATAGTCTTTCCCAGCATAGCAAGAAGTTCTCAAGAAATAAGGGGGTCCGGCTGCGAGCAGCCCAGGAGACAGCCGGGAGTCCTGCCTGGCTGGGCTCTGTGGCTGTGCGGTGTGCAAGGTGCCCTGTCACTTCACAGCCATCACACCTCCAGCCCCAGCAACCCTGTGCCGGGCCGGTGATGCGCCGGCAGGGACCACAGCGCCGTTCCCAGGGGCCTCACCTGCAAGCAGCAAACTCCAGCCAGACCGGGAAAGGGTCCCCCCAAAGACGGATTTTCACATCACTCAAAACCTTAGGAAATCATCATCCTGTGCTTCCACACACACACCCCGCGCCTACCTACTGGCTGTGCCTGAGACGCTGCGGGACTACCGCAAAACACAAGGGGAAGAGAGCCCCCAGACAGAGAAACCGGGGAGTCAGCTCTCCCGCCAGGGGAGCGTTGGGTCCCCAGGGGAGACGTGTTCGCCGACTTTCCGGTCACCATGGCAATTTAGCAGGCGTAAGTCACACCGGTCCCGGGCAGGTCTGTGTCACCCCGTCTCCTTCCCTCGGGGGGGCCGGCCCTCACCTTTCCAACCTTGAGGCGGTGCGCCCGGCGGCTCTGGGGGCGACTCGCCCCCCGGCGGGCCGAACTTCCACCGGCCCCGCGCGCCCGGAGGGGAGGCGCGGGGCGCAGAGGCGGGGCGGCCCGCGGGGCGGGATCTCGGGGGGCCCCGCGGCTCCGCGGGCGGCCCGGCGCCCCCCGCGCGCCCCGGCAGCTGCACGACAGGTGACCCGCGCCGCGCAGACGCCCGCTCGCGCCCGCCGGGCCGCCGGCAGGAAGGGGAAGCGGCGGGCGGCGCGGGGCCCGCGGCCCCGGGGGAGGAGGCGCGCGCCGGCCCCGGGGGACCGCGCTCGGGGGCGCTGGCTCCACAATTCAGGGAAAATGGCTCCAAGCCAAACGCCCCCTGATTCACACACGCGCGCGCGCACACGCGCACACAGCCCGGGCTCCGCCGGCGCCCCGTTTTCCTCCCCGCCGAAACAAAAGGCGAGCGCGGCAGGACAGCGGCCAGCGCCGCCCGCGCCCCGCCGCGCCCTCGCCCCGGCGCCCCCGCCCGCCGCGCGCCCCCCGCGCCCCCCCCCCCGCGCCCGCGCCGGGCGCCCGCGCCGCGCCCCGCCCGCCGCCGCCCGCGCCCGCGCCTCACCTCCGCGCGGCCCCGGCGGCCGCCCCGCGCTGCTCCGCGCCGCCGCCGCCCCCAGCCGGCCCGCGCCGCCGCCGCCGCTCCCCCCGCGTCTCGCCGAGTCTCCGCCTCCCGCCGCCGCCGCCGCCGCTGGGCCCGGCTCCGCGCCACGTGACCGCGCCACGTGACCCGGCGCGGCGGGCAGGCGCCTCCCCGGCCGGCCCGCGCCCCTCCAACCGCCCCCGCGCCCCGACCCCGACCCCGCGCGCCCCGACCCCCGCCCGCGCCCCTCCAACGGCCCCGACCCCCGCCCGCGCGCCCCGACCCCCGCCCGTGCCCCGCCAACGGCCCCGACCCCCGCCCGCGCCCCGCCAACGGCCCCGACCCCTGCCCGCGCGCCGCCAACGGCCCCGACCCCGCCCGCGCGCCGCCAACGGCCCCCGCGCCCCGACCCCCGCGCGCCCCCGCCGTCCCCGCCCCGGCCCGCGCGCCGCCAACGGCCCCCGCGCGCCCCGAGCCCCGCCCGCCCTGCGTGACGAGGCCCGCGGGGACCCCGCCGCCGGGGTCGGGCCGGAAGCGGCCGCGCGCGGGGTCCGGAGCCGAGAGCCGCGGAGACCGGCCGGCCGTGCGGGCGCCCACGGGGCTCGGGGCCGACGGCGGGGCAGGGGCTGGGATGGGGTGCGCAGGGGCGGGCTCGGTTTCCAGGGGGGTGACGGAGAAAGAGCGGGGAGTGTCTCCAACTCACCCAGGGAAAGGGGTCCACCGCCTTTCCCCCCCTGATTCCCATGCTGAGAATGGAAAACTGATGCGTCGGTCCTTCATGTTCCTTCCAGTGCAAAGAAACAGCCTTGCCGAGCGATGGGGTGATCGTTCACGCTTAGGTAGCTATGAAAAAACAGACGCGACAGCACCCCTCTGGCTCCCTGCGGGGCGGGGTGTCCTGGGTGAGTAAGTCGGGGCCACTGCGGGGGGCTCGGCCTCGCCTCTCAGTGCCTAGTTGCCAGATTTTGCACTTCGGCTTCAGGTGTAAGAATCCCTCTGCTGTGAATTTCTGGTTGTCAGAGGAAATAAAAAGGGGGACTAAGAGTGCTTCTAAAGGTCCTCTGGCAAGGCCTGCCGTGCCTCCTCGGGGCTCCCCAGCCCCCGTGCGGCTGCTGGAAGTGGCAGTGTCAGCCTCGTTGGCTCGCAGGGCCTTAGCGGCAGCCGTTAAGTGAATTGTGAAACTTTTGAACCTTAGAGCACCGTAAACATGAAAGATAGCCCTCGATTCAGTGTGACGAGTGTTGTGTTTCCCTGGAGGACCCAGCGTTATGCTGAATCCCAGGGGGACCTAAAGGAAGTAAACAGTATTACAGTGTGGCCCAAGTGTGCAGTCTCCACACAACTACTTCACACACACACACACACACACACACCCCTAGTATCAGCAAGCAGGGCCTGGAGCCACACACACACACACACACACACACACACACATACACCCACCCCCCCACCCCCGCCCCACCCCTATCAGCAAGCAGGGCCTGGAGCCAATTATGAAAACTCTGACCCTGCCTGTCAGAAAAAGCATTAAAGAAGAAAATATGCACTTGAAGAACTCCCTTGACCTGACCAAGGCAATCTGTTTAACGGTATAAAAAAAATCACTTAATAAATATCGTTCTGCAAAATGAAATGTATGAACCTTGAAATCACACTTCTAATACCACTGTTTTCCTTAAGGCTCACTGTGTGTGTCTCTCTCCTGCAAGCACTTTGGGGCGCCGAACAGCGAGCCAGCAGCACAGCCGCAAGGCCCTGAGTTTCTCTTGTCTGCGAGGTTTCCCACGGTGGCTGTGGTTGCGTGAAGGGTCTTTGGAGAAAGTGTCTTCGGGGCAGTCCTACCACTAATGAACAGGTGACAAGAGCGATGTATCCAGATGGAGATAACTGTCCCCCTCACAGGGCTGCCCAAGGAACTGAGAGGAATCATTCCTGGAAAATCCCTAGTGGGGGCCTGATAACACAATAGATAATCAATGACTATACCTCAGCTAATGCGTGACACAGCCTGACGCCCCAACGGCCAATCACTGGCCCTCCCGCGTCCTCTTCCCTGTTCTGTCTGTTCCTCAGTGCGCTCGGTGGGCACCCTCACTCCCCAGCTGGCCCACCCACATGCACCCAGATCTAGTCTCACATTTTGCCTTTTCATGGTTTGTTTTCCTGAAGACATTTTCACTTGGAGGCTCATGTTGAGTAATATTAAATCTGTGGCAAAACTGCATTTTAAGTGTTTTTTATAAATTTCATTATAAAATGACATGGTTGCATCTTCTCTAGAAATCTGAGGCAGCTGGGAGCCACTCGCAAAGAGATTTGCTCGTGGGGCCTCCTGCACTGGCTTTTGAAATCCAACTGGGCCGATGTTTCTCAGTTTATCATATTAGAAAGTTTGGTGGCACATTGAAGAAATTTAAGCAATAATTGTTAAAGTGATAATTACTAGAAGAAAGTGTCTCATATGACATTCAGGGTCTGAAATTGACCCTGACTCTGTTAACTGTCCTTTAGCTCTAGGCTCATATTTGAGAAAAATTTCTCACTAACCTGACCCAGCTACCCAGAGACCTGAGAGACACATGACCTTTCTTTAAAAGTCACCCTCTGGGCCTCCCCAGTGGTGCAGCGGGTTGAGCGCAGTGCTGCGAGGCTGTCCGCAGCCTCCACAGCACCTGTTCGATTCCCGCCCAGCCAGAGGGATTCCCACATGACACGGCAGACCTCTCCTGCCTCTCACGCTGCTCCCCTCAGCAGTGTATTGCACTCAATCTGCCTGTTCTGCTCCCCACTCTGTCTCTGGTGATCCTCTCACCCCCCACACCTCTGGCCTGTATCCCAGTTCTTGTATGCATAAATAAATAAATCTTAAAAAAAAAAATGCTAGTGGAAGCTTTGACTTCATTGCAGAAGTGGAGCCTGGGGAGGGGGGTGCCTCTGCAGCGGGGCCTTGCCAGTGCTCCTCTCCAGTCCCACGGTTGTGTTTTAAAGACATTGATAAGGACAGCACAACTGTGCAGCGTGACCAGGATGGCGAGGATGCCAGAAGGTAGATTCCAATGTTGCTCAGTTTTACAAACATGGGAAGATTTATTTATTTTTAAAGATTTATTTATTTATGCATACAAGAACTGGGGTATGTGCCCCTGCCCCCATGCTCCCAAGTGCCTCCTGCATTAGCACCATTAAGGCCACAGAGTGTAGTGGAGCAAAAGGCCTGATCAATCCACTTACCATACACCAGGGCCTCCTGGACCTTCTCTGGAACAAAGTATGCTCAACTCACCTGGAAGAAAAAAGATGGGAACAGGAGAAGATGGCTTTAAAAAGAGAGTACTTGAATAGTCACCTCCTTCTTCCCATGCAAGAGTGGAGTCAGCAGCTGCCAAATCCTCCTGCCTCCCATCCTTGCACTGCTGACCTGGCCCTTCAGGCAGCCCTGAATTCTGGCCAGAATTCCCCATTGGTGAATTTACCTGAGCACAAATTTTTCTAGAAGCAAGGTAGACAATGGTCTCCCAAAAGATACTGAAGTGACCTGATTTAAGCAACTGGTAAAAAGCCATTGTCTTGGACAGATTTTGCTTTTGTGGAAATGAATGTCCTAAAACTACCTCAAGTCTTGATATGCAAAATAGGCCTCTGGGGAGAAGGAGTGATTATGAAAGAGAAGAGTGACCCCCACACCTTCTTCTTTAAGGTTGGGTGTGAAAGCCAGGCAGGGCCAGGCAGGCCTGGGGCTGGTGGCCTCTGAGCTGGAGTTGCTGAAACAGAGGAGTCAGGATGGGGGCCTGCGCCTGGGGCTGCATCCAAGCGAAGCCTCATGCACTTCCCACACTGTGCGAGCATCAGTTTTGACCAAAACCTCAGGGGCTGGCTGCTCCTGGGGAAGCTACTGGAGATGAGAGCCTTGGAGTTGGTTGCTAGAATGTTTGCGCCTGAAGCATCTAAGGGTATCAGGCTTGGAGCTGAAGCAGAAGCGAGACTTGGCTCAAAGGTTAAAGCTCTTAACCACTGTCTTCTCTGTTGGCCTGTTCTGCTAACCTGCCTGCCTGTGTGTCCTGTTGTTTGTACCACCACCACCACCTGTCAGAACCTCTGAAGAGCAAAGCCATCACTGGGCCAGTGTAGTATCCCAGCCGCCACCTGGTGACAGGGTGGACTCATCTCTCCACCTCTGCAGTTTTCGCTTCTCAGTTTATGAAGTGGGAAGGGCATGTGCATCCCTGATCCTTTCTAATTCTAAATTTCTATAGCTTTTGAATGAAATTAATGGAGAGAAATATAGTGGACCCTTTCCTAACCCATGGCTTCTCTCTGGTTTGAATATTTATACCAAACCTGCTATAAGGAATATTTTCTTTTACTAAGCTATGTGAAGTGAAGAACAAGGTTAACTGCAAGGGGACATGGGACTTGGCTGCACACAGTTTTATTCCTCAGTAGACTTCTTAAAATATAAAGTAGCACAGTCAGTGTGTAAGGGATAGACCTTCCTAGATACATTTCGTTTCTTCACATGAAATTAATCCAATTTAGGATCGTTCAACTAGGAAGGCTATAGAGGAAGAAAAAAGACAGGGCATTTTTGTACTTTTTAAAAAAAGATTTATGTATTTATGCATATAAAAGCTGGGGTATAGGCCAGAGGTGTGGGGGGGATGAGAGGATTCACCAGAGACAGAGTGGGGAGCACAACAGGCAGATCTACTGAAATACACTGTTGAGGGGAGCAGTGGGTGAGACAGGAGAGGTCTGCTGTGCCATGTGGGTCAGCTCCCTGGCCCGGGATCGAACTCATGCTATAGTGGCTGCAGATAGCTTCATAGTGCTGCGACTTAACCCCTTGCACCATCAGGGAGATCCCCATTTTTGTACTTTTTGTGGCAAACTTAAAGTAGTATATGCAAATGTGAATTTGTGACGATGCATACCCGAAGCATATATATTGTAATGCAATGCTATTTCAATAAAAATTTATTTTAAAAATTAAATTTGCTTCTCAATCCTACCCTTTCCCTGTTGGTGCCTCCTCCCACTCATGCTTCCCCACCCTTAACCTTGAATCTAAGATATACAAAATGACTAGTAAAAAGTCACAACAGGGGCCTCCCCTGTGGCGCAGCGGTTGAGCCCTGGGTTGCGAAGCTGCCCACAGCCTATTCAGCGCTGGTTTGATCCCCGGCCTCCGGGGGAGGGTCCCACATGGCGCGCAGACCTCTCCTGCCACCCACTGCTCCCCTCAGCAGTGTACTTCATCACTCTGCCTGTTCTACTCTCCGCTCTGGCTCTGGTGAATTCTCTCACCCTCTAGCACCTCTGACTGTACCCAGTGCTTGTATAAATAAATAAATCTTTCAAAAAAAAAAGTCACAACAGGACCAGGCTAAGCATCCAAGCATTTCTCTATTTTGGAGGACCTACCACACACCTTTCCAGAATCGAAGTAATGCAAACACCAGCAGCCTTTCTCCTCTCTTGCTGGCTAATGAACCCAATCTGTTCAACTGCCCAGGGCCTGCACATCCCAGGAAGCCAACTGCATGCTGTCCCTACCCTCTCCCCAGCCACACACACACACACACACACACACACACACACTGCTCTAGGCCAGCAGTCCACACAAGGCACCAGGCCCAGCAGCAGTACTAAAAATGCACATTCTCAGACCTGGTGAGCACCTGTGTTTTAACACTCCCTGAGGTGAGTCTGAGCCACACAAAAGAATCCCCAGCAGGAGTCAACTTGAGTTTGCTTGAAACTAGCCATTTGCATGTGAGGGTCACTCTGCAGGGTCCCCTGCATGTGTGGCAGCCTTTTGGAAACAAGCACCTTAGCTCAACCAAGAAGCATGCTACCCCCTCTGCAGGGGAGCTTTGGGGTCTCACTGGTTCGTGACAATACTATGATGACATTTGTCTTTTCACTTTCACTCTTAGGAATGCCCTCCGGCTTTCCTGGGGGTCATTTTTGGGAGCCCAGCAGAAGGAGCTGGGGCAACGGCAGACTGGAGGGCCCACCTGTCCTCTCCTGTCAGTCAGTGTGGAAAAAGGAAAAGTAATGCCACTCTTCTCAGATTTCTTGTCTTGGAAAACATAGCTATTTTTCATTAAAATATGTGAGTGGGGGCCTCCCTGGTGGCGCAGGGGTTAAAGTCTCAGCACTATGAAGCTATCAACAGCCACTGTAGCACGAGTTCAATCCCTGGCCAGGGAGAAGCCCACATGGCCCAGCAGACCTCTCCTGTCTCACCTGCTGCTCCCCTCAGCAGTGTATTTCAGTTGACCCACCTGTTCTGCTCCCCACTCTGTCTCTGGTGAAGCCTCTCATCCCCTGCACCTCTGGCCTACACCCCAGTTCTTGCATGCATATATAAATAAAATAAATCTTTTAAAAAATATATACAGGAAACTCATACAACTTATAGCAAAAAGCAAATAATCTACTTTAAAAATGGGTAAAGGACATGATAGATATGTCCAAAGAAGACATAAGAATGACCACTGGGGACATTAAAAGGTATTTACTTAACATCATGAGTCCTCAGGGAAACAGAAATCAAAGGCTCCATGAGAGCTCGGCCCACAGCTATGAGAATGATTGTCACGGAGAAGGAAGTAAATCGCAGTGCTGGTGACAGTGCTCATGAGAATGCAGAGAAAAGGGAACATTGTGCATGTTGGTGGGATTATAAATTGGAATGGCCTCTATGGAAAACAGTGAAGATTCCCCCAAAGTCAAATAGTAGAATCTCCATATGATCCAGCCATCCACCTCTGGGAATATATCTGAATAAAACTAAAATACTATGTCAAAGAGATGTCTGCACCCGTCTTCATAACAGTATTCACAATAGCTAAGACATGGAAATTCTAAATCTAAGTGTCCATGCCATGGAGGGACAAATAGATGAAGATATTCCAGTTATATAATGGAATATTACTCGGCCATAAAAATGAGGAAATATTGTCATTTGTGACAACAAGAATGAACCTTGAGGACATTATGCTATGTGGAATAAATCAGAAAGATAAAAACAAATGCCATATCATCTACTTATACGCGGAGACTAAGACACACACATACACGCACCAAACTCATTGTAAAGAGATCCAGTTTATGGTTGCCAGAGGTGGAGGGGAGCGGAAGGAGGGGAAATTGTATGAAGGGGTGAAAACATACAAATTCACAGTTATAAAATAAATACTAGGGATATAATATACAACATGATGATTATAGTCAAGATTGCTGCATGGCATACATGAAAAATGTTAAAAGAATATATCCTAGGAGTTCTCATCACAGGAATTCTTTTCATCTGTCTGAGATACCCCCCTTTTTTTGTTTTGTTTTTTTTTTAAGGATTTATCTATCTGTGCCTTCAAGAACCGGGTTACAGGCCAGAGCTGCAGGGGGTGAGAGGCTTCACCAGAGACAGAGTAGGGAGCAGAACAGGTGGATCCACTGAAATACACTGCTGAGGGTGAGACAGAAGTCTGCTGTGCCATGTTGATCACCTGCCTGGCCGGGGATCGAACTTGGTGCTGCTGTAGTTGCAGATAGCTTCATAGTGCTGATGCTTAACCTCCTGCGCCACCAGGGAGGGCCCTGAGATCATACCTATTGACAAAACTTATGGTGGTAATCACATCACAAACACCTAAGTCAAATCCTTATGCTGTGTGCCTTGAATTTGTACTGTGCTATCTGTCAATTATATCTCAATAGAGCTGGTGAAAAAAAGAAAGAAGTAAACATGCTATGAGGCAATAAAGAGTTAACATGAAAAATGCACAGAATGGGGCCTCCCCGGTGGCGCAGCAGTTGAGTGCTGGGCTGCGAAGCTGCCCGCGACCTCTGCAGCGCCGGTTCGATCCCCGGCTGCTCCCAGGCCACCAGCGGAGGATCCCACATGGCGCGCAGACCTCTCCTGCCGCCCGCTGCTCCCCTCAGCAGTGTACTTCGGTCCTTCTGCCTGCTCTGCTCCCCGCTCTGGCTCTGGTGAATTCTCTCACCCTCCCATGCTTCTGACTGTACCCAATGCATGTATAAAAAAAACAAACAAAAAAGCAAATAAATAAATAAAAAGAAAAGATTTACTTATAAAAAAAAAAAAGAAAAATGCACAGAATGAAGATGATAAGGCTGTCATTTATGAAGTGAATGGAACTCATCAGCACTCTAAAAATGCTGATGTCAAAAAACAGAAAAAGCGTGGTGATACTAGGAGACCCACCCACTTAGGAAAGCAAGCCCCCCCCCAATTAGGACTATATGCTTAAGACATCATACTCTCTGTTTTGTAAATTGTTCATTTTTATGTGAATGCTAGCCATTTCCACTGTAACTCAGTTAAAAGCTCAGATTTTGTAACTGCAAATTCTGAGAATCGGACCTGAAAGGGGTGTTTACTGCAGGGTCAGTGGGTACAAACATCAAGTGGCCCCTATATAATCGGGTATCACACCAAAGAAAATCACTTATAGATACTCTATAACTTTTGTTCTGTAAAAAAATTAGATGGAGAAGCCTCCCTGGTGGCACAAGGGGTTAAGTCTCAGCACTGTGAAGCTATCCACAGCCACTGCAGCATGAGTTCGATCCCCAGCCAGGGAGCAACCCACATGACGCAGCAGACTTCTCCTGTCTTCCCGCTGCTCCCCTCAGCAGTGCATTTCACTAAATCTGCCTGTTCTGCTCCCCACTCTCTATGGTGAATCCTCTCACCCCCCCACATCTCTGGCCTGTACCCCAGTTCTTGCATGCATGCATAAATAAATATTTTAAAATATTTTTAATTAAAAAAAAAAAACAGATGGAGAAAGAGAATCTCTGAAAGTTATGAGTAGTTACATCTCATTTAAGTATCAGATGACAGACGAGATCAGTGCCCGCAATGACTTACCTACACTGTAGTGACCTTCCTCATGGCTTCAAAATAAAGCAAGATGTGGGTAATTGTAGCAGAGGTTTTTTCACCCAAATCCCTTCTGTATGATAAGGATGACACTCGGAAGCCATTGCCCAGCAAGGGACAATTCCTGCGCTCCTTTCCTCCTCCATATAGCACAAGTCTGCCAAAGGGGTATGAGGCGTGAGGTGTGTCACTTCCAGCCAAGGCAGCTGAGAAACAGGTGTTGGTTTCCATCCTCTCCTTTCCCCTGGCTGCCAAGGAGATGCCAAGAAGTCGAGGCCCCAGGGAACAAAGCCAGCAGATGGGAAGGGTCTAAGTTTCTGAATCTCTCGTGGCGGGGAGTAGAGCGCCAACAAGAAGCACAAAGCAAATTTCGCTTTGTGAAGCCTCTGAAAACTGCAGCTCGTGTTCGCGAAGATGCTAGGCTGCCTTGAAACGTTGACGTTCTGAGCAGGTCTGAGAAAAAAGAGAAAGCAGCAAGTCTCAGACTATTGCATCTCCCTCTCTACTACCTAGAACAGAGAGGTAGTGATTCAATGTGTGATGGATAGTTTAATGAATAAATAAACAGGTGAATAGATAGATGACTAGATGGACATAAGGACGGATGGACGGATGGATGGACGGATGGACGATGGGTACATACATTAGGTATTCATGTGAAGAATGTAACAGTTTGGAATAAAGTAACTTTAAATATTTGTGGAAAAGGTTTACATATTAGATAGATTTAAGTCTGGACAATTTTACATAAAGGACTACTTTGACTCTGATTATTTTTTTTAAAGATTTATTTATTTATGCATACAAGAACTGGAGTACAGGCCAGAGGCACAGGGGTGAGACAATTCACCAAAGACAGTGGGGAACAGAACAGGCAGATTGACTGAAATACACTGCTAAGGGAAGCAGCGGGAGAGGCAGGAGAGGTCTGCTGCGCCATGTGGGTAGCTCCCTGGCCGTGGATCAAACTTATGTTGCAGTGGCTGCAGATAGCTTCATAGTGCTGCAACTTAACCCCTTGCGCCACCAGGGCAAGGGGTTAAGTCAGTCTCAGACCTGACTGATATTTTTAAATGATTAGATTACACTAGCTAAGAATCCCATATTTAACTAATTTATCTTATTTTTTATTTTTTTAAGATTTATTTATTTATACAAGAACTGGGGTACAGTCAGAGGCAAGCGAGGGTGAGAGAATTCATCAGAGACAAAGTGGGGAGCAGAACAGGCAGATGGACTGAAATACACTGCTGAGGATAGCAGCGGGCGCAGCAGGAGAGGTCTGCTGTGCCATGTGGGATTCTCGCTGGCCGGCCGGGATTGAATCCGCGCTTCAGAGGCTCCTGACAGCTTCATAGTGCAGCGCTCAACCCGCTGCGCCACCAGGGAGGCCCTATTTTATCTTATTTTTAAAAAATTTGTTTATTTATGCATAGAAGAATTGAGGTATAGGCCAGAGGTGGCATTGAGGGGATTTACCAGAGACACAGTGGGGAGCAGAACAGGTGGCTCTACTGAAATACACTGCTGAGGGGAGCAGCGGGGGAGACATGAAAGGTCTGCTGTGCCATGTGGGTCAGCTCGAACTCAGGCCTGTGGTGCACCCTCATGTTGACAGAGTTGAGACTTAATCCCTATGCCACCATGGAGGCCCCATATTTAACTATTTTAATAGTGAGTAGTATTTTCAGGTTATTTATTTTTTTTTTAAGAATTTTTTTTCCCCCTTAAGATTTATTTATTTATTTATTTATACAAGCACTGGTACAGTCAGAAGCGCGGGAGGGTGAGAGAATTCACCAGAGCCAGAGTGGGGAGCAGAGCAGGCAGAAGGGCCGAGGTACACTGCTGAGGGGAGCAGCGGGCGGCAGGAGAGGTCTGCGTGCCACGTGGGACCCTCCTCCCGTGGCCGGGGAGCAGCCAGGGATCGAACCGGCGCCGCAGAGGCTGCGGGCAGCTTCACAACCCAGCATTCAACCGCTGCACCACTGGGGAGGCCCTATTTTTAGGTTAAGTAATTTTAAGAAGAAAAATATATGAGAAATCCACTGTCTCTACACAGTTTTCAGATCGCATATCCAAATAAGCATTTGTGACCATTGTAATAAAATATAGTCAGATATTATAAATTCAAAACATAGAACTCTAGGACAAATACCCAACAGGAAATCTTAAGCTTTTGGAGTTCTGGCCTTGCAACCCTAAATACATAGTAACACAAAGAATAGCAACCTGGTATGGCAGTAAAGAATGTAATTGCTTTTGATAGTAGTTTTAAGAAAATTTAGATCTTACATAAAAAAATTCAGAGGATAAGAGAGAAAATATATACCTACATTAATTCAATTCTCTAAAGTTAACTCTAAATATTAATTTTATTTTTCATTAAGACTGGGAGAAAGAATAGGAAGTTTGCTTAAGAAATAAGACAACACATGGGGCCTCCCTGGTGGCGCAAGGGGTTAAGTCACAGCACCATGAAGCTATCTGCAGCCACTGCAATGCGAGTTTGACCCCTGGGACAAGGAGCTGACCCACATGGTGTAGCAGACCTCTCCTGATTCACCTGCTGCTCCCTCAGCAATGCATTTCAGTCAGTCTGCCTTTCCATTCCCCATTCTGTCTCTGGTGAATCCTCTCACCCGCACCCGCCCCCCGCTCACACACAACTCTGGCCTGTACCCTAGTTCTTGTATGCATAAATAAATCTTTTTTTTTTGCATAAATAAATCTTAAAAAAAAAAACCCACAAAATCCACAGGTTGACTAGTTTTCCTAGAAATGATTCTACTAAAAATGTTTTTATGGTAGGGCATCCATGGTGCTACAAGGGGTGAAGTCTCAGCACTATTAAGCTATCTGCAGCCACTTGCAGCATGAGTTCGATCCCTGGCCAGGGAGCTACCCACATGGCACAGCAGACCTTTTCTGTCTCCCTGCTACTCTCCTCAGCAGTGTATTTCAGTCAATCTGTCTGTTCTGTTCCCCACTCTGTCTCTAGTGAATCCTCTCACCCCTGCCCCTCTGGCCTGTACCCCAGTTCTTGTATGCATAAATAAAAATAAATCTTTAAAAATATATTATAATGGTATATAAGTATGTATTTGTCATATATACATATGCACCTGTATATACATGAGCTTTTATATCTTAAATGGTACATTCATTCCGCTAAGTTTCCTGCATCTCCTGAGCAACAGAAGTGATGCTGTGGAGAAGTTGCCTAGCAACCTGAAATTAGTAAGACGCATCCCTTTCATTGACTTTTAAATCAAACTCTTCAAGGGCAAGCATGAGATACATGACAAATGTGAAAACTCATCATACTAACACCACACGATGAGCTTTAGGAACAAAGCTACGCGGGGTCCACCTGTTATGTTAGTTTGGACAACAGTAATTTTAGCCTGGAATAATCTCTCTCTTCTCTGTGGCGATTAAGCTTATTAAAAATGACTTATGTTAAAGTGATAACATTCTGAAGAGATGGATTTATTTGTTCAAATATAGTAATTATTTCACAATATATATCAAATCATCAAATTATATACTTAAATATAAATATATACCTCATAAATGCACAATTCTTTTTATATAATTCTTAATGGTCAAATATACCTCAATAAAAACAAAACTATTGCACTTTAAGGACTACACAGGTACGGAACAAGTCAAAAGGAAAGAGGGATGAGGCCCCTCAGGTTCGGCCTGGGGCGCTGGCTTGGGTGAGGGGCGGGGCCCCAGCCCCAGCCCCAGCCCCAGCCCCTCTGCGCCTCAGGGCTCCCGAGGTCCACGTCAACCCTGTGGAGTGTAACCCCGGCTTCCTGGCGCCGGTGATTCCCGCGTTGCATCTGGTCGAAGTGCCCAAAGACAGCTGAGCCGTATGCGCGTGGGTGGACGTCCTGGGGGGCACCTTGCAGAGCCCGCAGTCTGGCTCCCGATAGCCGATAGCCGCGAGGTCCCAGCCTGCTGCTGAGTGCTGGGGGACAGAGGCTTCACAGAGCCAGGCGAGCAGCCTTTGTTTCCGTGACCGTGTGCACCTTGTTTTTGTGTGTCGTATCTATTTGTGTCTCTGGCCCTTGACCCAGTGACACCAGACAAGTGTTCTTGAGCTCGGTATTATATATATTTTTCTCATTATAGGTTCAAAACAAAACAAAAAAAAAATAGTTAAAATATTTGGAATAATATTTTATTCCAAATAATAATAAAAATGAATACAAAACCAAAACAAAGGTTCTGTTGGTGGAAACAGCGTTCCAGATCCGGTGTGTTGGTTTGTTTGTTTGTTTTAAATAGTAAAGGGCTAACACTGAGCCTAAGGGTAAATTTGAGGCCTGAGGTCAAGAAAACCGTTGTAAAGTCTTTTATACAAAGTTCTCAAAAGAAGAAAAAAAAATCTATAAAGGCACTGTTTGTAATCCCCAAATGTGGATACTCATAAACTTAGGTTACTTTTAAAAATTGTTTTGCCAATGCAAGATAAATACATTATTTCTCCGATAAAATTAATTCTGACATCCAAACCAAGTTCACTTATTGCTTTGAAGACAGGTGGGGGGGAGACGGGGTGGGGGGGAGGGAGGGGCAGGGAAAGGAAGGACTAGAGTCAAAATAAGGGGGGGGGGTGCAACTGTATGGGGAATACAACCAAAATGAAAATGCATAATCGTGCAAAGATGAAAAAAGATGTAAGAATTATATAAAATAAAATATTTAAATTAAAAAAAACAAACATATGGTGTGTAGCAGCATTTCATTTCACTAACAAGCCACCGGGAGCACCGAACTGGCAGGTTCTAGCTTACTGAAGGTCTGGATCCCCAAGTGGGCACCGAGGCGAGCGCCGTGGTCAGAGCGCCCCCTACTGGCCCCACTTACTCAGCACCGCGATTCCAGACTCCGGGTCGGGACTGGAAGGAAACCTTAACCGATGTAACACGGGGTCGCATGTATTCAAGAAGTCACAAATTCACATTAATTGCTCATTTTTAAATTCCACATCACATCTCCCATCTATTTTGTAACTAATGTACTAATGTGTACACTGAGATTTTAGTTAAAATTGACCTGGGCCTTGGGGAGACAGTGACTATTAGGGTTACCTAAATTGATTAAGTATAGATCCTTCCCACCCCCTCCTCAAGACCCTGCCTGAAAACTGATACACTGACATAGCTGAACAGTTTGTCTCACTAAAAAATGTTACCAGGTGGTAAAGAAGTAAATACATTATTGAAGACTCTCCAAACCAAAGTAACTACTGCCAATAAGTAACATTCTGTGACTAAATTGAAGAATCAGTTATCTCATTAGTGGGTTTTATATAAGCTGGTTCCTGATAGGCCCTGCCTCTTCTTTGGCAGTAAAAGGAACAGCTGTGCCGCTGGGCTGCCCGCTGAAATCCAACAAGACCTCCAAACAAGATCTCCTGCTCCGAGTCTCTGTCACACACTTGGCCCCCGGACTCTACTCTGGCCACACCTTAGACACACCAGAGAAACCTTTAAGAAATCTCATCCCAGAATAAATCAATTGGGATAACAGGGGACTGGCATCAATATTTTTTAAAAGCGCCCTATTTAATTCTAATGAGTTTAAGAAGAAAAGCTTCACTTTGAAACAGAAATGATACTTCATGTTTTTAATAAAAGCTCACAAGAGATTTAGCAAGAAAGTAAGTGTGGAAGCAGGTGGTCTCCCTGGGCTGGGAGCCTGTTTTTATACTTAGTAAAAGGTTTGAAGATTGTCATCAGAATTCTAAGTGTGATTGAGAGATGGGATTCCAGGTGAGTTATAAATTCTTCACTTGCTTTCCTTTCCTGATACACCTATATGTGTATTGCTCATTAAAAAAAGAGATAACTTGAATTAATTAAAAATTAAAGATACCAGTGGCCCTTATCATCTTTAAACAAAAACAGGCTGTGAAAAGGAAGTGTTTTGAGGGGCCGTGTAAACCCCAAGTGCAGCAGACAAGATAAAGTCCAAGCTGGAGGCTGCAGAAAGCAGCTTTTAATTAGAGTAATAGCAAGCTTAGTGACAAATCTGCAAAGCAATCCTGGGACAGAGGGGAAAAAAACACCACTGAAAATGAGACAATCACATAAAAAGTGTTAATCATGGAGAATTAACTAATGAATAGGTGTTTCTAAAGAAAACAACCAGAATAGAGGTGTCAAAGCTGTAACAGAACATTTGCTCACTTAATAACTAAAGAGAATCCTCCCCCAAAACAAAATAAGCAAAGCCACTGAATTTTGAGAGCTCAGAAAGGCTCACATATTTCAGGCAAAATTAAGGAATGTACACTTGGAATAAGTTGCAATTTTTCAAATAAATAATAAGCACTGCAGAGGAACAAAGAGGGAGGTAGGTAGGGACTGCTTAAGAATGGATCAGTTAAAGAAAAGGGTATGAAAGCAAGACAGAGGAGCTGAAAAAAACTGCTGTCATCCAAGTAGGAAGTCGATCGAAAGAGTAAAATCTAAACTGGACTGGTCAGTAAACGTCTGAGGATGAGAAAAATGGTTCAGTGCTGATAGAAATGGTTGGTGACCTGGAATTCTATAGAAGATGAATCATCAGTCAGCAATGGAGGCAGATTGGCACGGCCTCAGATAAGCTGACTGTTCAGACATTTTTCTTAACAAAGTGGCTCAGAGCTAGTTTCGAGATGAAGGGAGAGGGTGGTCCCTGCTAAATATCTACCTGTGCTCTTTTTTCTCTACCCATCTGCTTTTTCCCTGACTTGTGAGAAAATAGATCTCTGTTTCTGTGTGCTTGAAAGGTCTTTCCCCCTCTTTCACTATGCTCTTTTAGCATAAAGATAATTCAATCTCAGAACTTGTTTCACACCTTTTTTTTAAAGATTTATTTATTTATGCATACAAGAGCTGGGGTACAGGCCAGAGGTGTGGGGGGTGAGAGGATTCACCAGAAAGAGTGGGGAACAGAACAGGCAGATCGACAGAAGTGCACTGCTGAGTGGGCGAGTCAGGAGAGGTCTGCTGCACCATGTGGGTTGCTCCCTGGCTGGCCAGGGATAGAACTCGTGCTGCAGAGGCTGCGGACAGTTTCACAGGCTGCGTCTTAACTCCTTGCACCACCAGGAAGGCCCTTTTTTCACACGCGTTAAGTTATAGTCTTGCCAACAGACTTTAAGGATAGGTATCAGAGGAAATTCAGTGACATGTCTACAATCCCAGAGCTAGTAAGCAGGAAGCTGACCTTTGGACCCAGACATCAGCTTCTTGCTTACTAGCTCTGGGATCCTAGACATCATCCCTTTCCTAGAGCAAGAACAGTATTTAAAAAAGGGTTCAGTGATCTCACCAGCCAAACTTTCAGTGGTATCTGAGTGGCAAATGAAGCAGAGCTACACCTGAGAGTATTCAGAGCTGCACCTGAGAGTATTTATTGAACATATTTGCAAATTACAGTATATCTTCATCTATAATAAACCCCTTTCCTACTTGATAATAAGATTAAGAGACAGACTGACCTAATTTTCTTCAGAAGGTATTATGTCAAATCTTTTATTTCTTTAGGGCTGAGGTTTATTGTGTAACTATACAATAAAGTACATTATTTACCAACTTTTCAGAAAAGTAGTACAATTATGACAGGTCACATGTTGCAACTAATATTAAGAGCAATAATAGTCAACAATTTTGTTACCACTTCCAGTGTCTTGCCTGCTGCTCCCCTCAGCAGTATATTTCAATCTGCCTGTTCTGCCCCCCACGCTGTCTCTGGTGAATATTCACACCACCCCCACACCTCTGGCCTGCACCCCAGTTCTTCTGTGCAAAAATAAAATTTTTTTTTTTAAGATTTATTTATTTATGCATACAAAGACTGGGGCATAGGCCAGAGGTGCGCGGAAGGTGCAGGGGTAAGAAGATTCACCAGAGATGGAGTGGAAGCAGAACAGGCAGACTGACTACACTGCTGAGGGGAGCAGCAGGGAGATAGGAGAGGTCTGCTGATAGAAATGGTGGTGACCCATGTGGGTCACCTCCTTGGCTGGGTATCTAACTCATGTTGCAGTGGCTGCTGATAGCTTCATAGTGCTGAGACTTAACCCCCTGCACTGCCATGGAGGCCCAAAAATAAATAAAATCTTTAAAAAAATCGATTCTTTTATGCAGTTAAGAAAATTTAATGTTTCAGAACATTTAAGACTTTGTTTAAAAAAAAAAAATGTAGGGCCTCCCTGGTGGCGCAAGGGGTTAAGCACCGCACTATGAAGCTATCCGCAGTCTCTGCAGCACAAGTTCGATCCCTGGCTGGCCAGGGAGCAACCCATATGGCAAAGCAGACCTCTCCTGTCTCACCCGCTGCTCCCCTCAGCAGTGTATTTCAGTCAGTCTGCCTGTTCTGTTCCCCATTCTATCTCTGGTGAGTCCTCTCACCACCCCCACCCCCCGCATCTCTAGCCTGTAATGTAGTTCTTGTATGCATAAATAAATAAATCTTAAAAAAATAATGAAGTAAATTTCTCGTTACTAAGCAGCCAGTAGCTCTTGTCTAGACATCTAGTTTCTAGACAGTAAGTATAATGTCTGTTGATTCCAAGAAGCAGAAGATGTCATGTGAGTATTCTGTCCTCTGTGAGATGACAAGTCCACTAAGTGATTTTGAGCAAAGCGTCACAGTCATCACATTGTCCCCTAGTTCCAGTGCAGCGCCCAGGGGACAGCAGTTACCATTTACTCTAACTCAACTTTTAAAGAAATAAAAGTTAATGAAAGAAAGATTTTAGATTTTCCTTCACTGAACACTCTTATCAGTCACCGTCCAAAATAGTTTTTTCCATACTTTTCTTGCGTGGAACTGGGGTGTAGGCAAGGTGGGAGCGGGATGTGAGAGGATTCACCAGAGACAGCATGGGGAGCAGAACAGGCGGATTTTACTGAAATACACTACAGGAGAGGGCAAAACAGGAGCGGTCAGCTGCCGCTTGTGGGTCAGTTCCACGGCGGTCGCAGTGGTGAAAGTGCTGAGACAACCCGTAGGCCATCAAGAAGGCCTCGTTTTTTCCCATAATTTTTAACACTGGGATTCTAAAAAAATTTTTCTCCAAGTTTCATGTTAATATAAAAGGTAGTAGGTGACAAATGCCTGAGGCAGCTTAGAAATTCATTTAAATATGACTGAAATACAGGATTGAATGTTTCAGTGCAGTTGAAAATCTGGAAGAAATGACTTCCCTGTTCAGTAAGTGTTAGAACCAAATGCAGCAATAACTGAGGATGATTGTCTGCAGTGTCACATGGGAGTCAAAGGTGTACAGATTGTGTTCGATGGGTGGGAATCACGGCAAATACAGTGAACTGGAAACATTTCCAGCTCCAGTAATGTAGGTGTACGCGAGTCAAATGGTACATAGGTGCCTTAGAAAACCTTAAGGAGCCAAGTAAATGGGGTTTTTGATATAATTCCACACAACATCGGGAAGTATTTTCTCTTGGGAAATTCCCTCCCTGGCAACCCCATGCAGGGAGGCCCTCGGGGCCGTCAGAAGACCTCAGCCTGCAGTCTGTCCGCGCAAGCTACTTTAACCTGACCACCTGGCCTGCCGCAGACTGACTGTGTGCTGTTGTGTCTCTACCTTCCCTTTTAGGTCGGTTTAAACAAGGGTTCTCATAGGCAATAAAGCAAAAGCAAAACTGATTTCTTAACAAAGAAGCCTTGTCTTGATGGGAAAATGTGACCAACAAAGTCTGAAGAGAGAAAAACTAAATGTGCAGAGTAGCTTGTAGCTCCTCTACTGGGTTGTTTCTCCCCTCTGCACTTTGAAAAGATATTTTCAGGCAGATGTAAAGTGTAGACTACACTGATATTCTATGGCTCTCTCCCCATCTTCAGCCACTAAGCTGGCTGGGCTGCAGCTATTGTGCAAACTACCTAAGTATCAGCGAAATCCCCACCTTGGCAAATTTATTTAAACAGTAGATCTGTGTAGATTCTAATTGAAACGAAACAAACCACACACACATTACAAAACCCACATTATTAACAAGAACAAGCAAAATAATATCCTGGTTAGATTGATGATCACGTAAAAACATTCTATTATTGATGCACCAAGTTGGTATTAAAAAGATAGAAAAAACACTTAACTTGTATTTTAATAATATATTTTAATAAAGGATAATAAAAACCAAGTTACAGCCAACTGTTAACCCCCCCCTTTTTTAAATTCTGGGGTACATACATTAAAGGAAACAGGAAGAAATTCTGGTCTTTTGGGTACAAGCTCCAGGCAACTCTCTAAGTCTACGCAGTCCACAGGCTACCAGGTGGTCGGGGCCTCTCACATATGTGACTCATAACTCCGAGATGGTCACTATCCCATATTTTCACTTCTGGGTAAGAGAGAAAGCATTCTGGTCCATTAATTCACCTACACGCTCCTGGAGGACATTAACCAATTCTGCTATTACGAAGACGTGAGTGTCATCGATGTCTTGAATGATGAACTTCTTCCCTAGGGCATTTGACTCATCCAAGTACAGCAGAAACTGCTTCATGGCGGGGTCACTGTGGAGATACACGCAGGTGATGAGACACCCTGATGTCAAATTATATCAGAGACCTGAGCAATCAGAATTGAGCAGATGGAATTTTTAGGATTTTTTTTAAGTTCCAAAGAGTCATTCAATCCTTTATACTCCCTCTGCCTCAAGTGTTAACGGTTTAGATGTAGCTTCATTTTAGTGCTGTTGTTGCAAGTTTAAGAGGCCAGTAAGATTTTTAAAAGAATAATTAGTCAATGACAAATGAAAACATAATGTTCAAAGCTTGTAGTTAATAGGCCTAGACTCAGAGCTTCCTTAACCAATTTTAAAAACATTACTTGTCCACGATCATTACATTTAAGAAGCCAACAGCTCTGCACTATCTTGTCAGTGACAAATTCATTTACAAAAGCAGTTGAAGTCACTTTGATAAGGCAAGGTGCACAGCAAGAGTCGGGGACCGATCCAAGCCCAGCTCTGTCACTTACATGTGTGATATCTATGTCCTTAGTCTCCCAAAGTCTACAGTGAGCTTACGTAACAGAAATGTTCTGAAAATTAATAGAGATAAATGCCAAGGATGTTTGGATTACAGTAGGTACTCAGTTTTTTTCCCTTCTTTAAATTTTGAACCCTCTAAATCTGAACTATAATTCAGAATCTTTCAAGGAAATCCTAACAAAATCTCTTTGAGAATACTGAGCTCAAAGTAGAGATCTAATTTCAATTCTATATCCCGTGGTTTTAAGTTTGGAATGAGTAGAATAGTCATAAGGGAAAGAGGGATACACCTTCTTGGATTTACTGAAATGTCTCTTTCAAAAAAACCCTGAAGCATGACAAAGGACACTATAGATGTAACATACAATGATGTGATCTTAGGAGTAGAAGATGAATGTAAAATGCCAACTTCCACAAAGACTTTCTTAGAGAAAACTAACATTATATATTCTTTTAGTTTCTGGAGTAATGTTAGTAACAATTATAAATTTAGCAATTTAATTCAAGAGATCGGTATAATTTACTGAAAATATGGTTTGCTTCTTTCTAGTATAAATATAAATGAAACTAGCAAAGTGAAAGGTTTATTTCAATCATTAACTGAGTAGGGTTCACGCTATACTATTACTAAATTGAAGCCCTTCTGAGATGCTTTCTTAGTTACTCTCAGTAACTTACCATTAAAATGATTTAACAATTTTCCTTGCTGCAAAATCATGTGACTAAACATGTGTGCACATGTCAGAGATTGTAAATATAGTCTGGTGACATTCATCCGCTTAGAGTTCTCAAAGTCAGTTACATTCTAAGGTCGCGGGTCTAGAAAGCAGACTCGAGATATTCAGAAGTAATGCGTTTTCTATTTTTTTCAGTCCCTTGTTCAGTGAATACTGAGAACATGTCATGTGTGGGCGCTGCTTCGGCCCTGGGACACAGCAGCAGAAAAACTAAGACTCCTGCCACAGCACGTCCACCCCACCGGTAGCACCGTGAGACACACACGCAGCAATGAAGCAGGGTGAGAAAGGGCAGGGACGACAGGGACAGGATCTTGTGAGTCTAATTCAGGGCGGCAGGAGAGGTACCCCTGCACAGGTGACATCTGAACAAACAGCAGAGGGAAGCAGTGAGCCAACCCGCTGGTGACGGTGGAAGAGCAGCCGGGCAGTGTGGGCAGCAGGGCCAGCAGGGCAGGAGCAGGCAGTGAAGGGGAGAGCAGAGTGAGAGGCGATCAGAAAGTTCTAACGGGTCCAGTCCCACAGGCGGTAGAGGTCATTTTAGAGGTCCTGGCCTCTTTCGCATGACATGATTAACTTACAAACTAACTTAACATTTAAAAGTAAGGTTCATACTGGCGGCTGGGTTGAGTGACACAGGGCAGGGTGGAAAGAGGGAGACCCATTAGAAGACAACTGCAACAATCCAGGAGACATGAGGATTTGGATCTAGGTGGTAACTGACAGGTAAGTGGCTGAAGACATTTATCAAATGCAAAGCGAAAATAACTCGCTAAAACTAGATTAGAGCTTTGGGAGGAATTCAGGAGACCCTGAGGTTGTTTCAGTCTGAGCAAACAGGATTAAGGAGTAGGGTTCAAAATATTTTAAATCTTAATAAACCTAAGCCTTTCCTAGATGAGTTGAAACACAGGGAGAACAGTTTGTAGTAAAGATCAGGAGTTCGGTTTTAGGCACGCTTCACGTCAGATGCCTACTGGCACCTAAGGGAACACGAGTGGAAGGCTGGCTACAACTCTGGATTTCAGTGCCGAAAGCACATCAGTCATCAATGTCTAGAGGGCAGTTAGAGCCACAGGCGAGCAGGCCCAGCTATGGAGAAGAGCCCGAGAACCCAATCCTGGACACCTCAGCGACGAAGGTCAGAAGAAGGATGAATCAGCAAAGCAGATTAAGAGGACGCAACCGCCAAGGAGAAAGAACAGGGAGTCCTGGCAGCTAAGTGAACAAAGGCTACTCAGGAAGACAATGGCCCAACTGTGTCCAAGGACGTTAGCAGGTCAGTAAGATAAGGACTGGCCACTGGATTCAGAAAGAACTGGACCTTGTCTAGGGCAGTTCGGTGAAGTCACAGGGGAAAACTCCAGACTGGAGTGGTTTTCAGAATGAGAGAGGAGCGATGAGAGAAAGTGAATACATGAAAGTCTTATGAGAAATTCTGCTACAAACAGTGGGGACATGAGTGGGCTGGAGAGGGATGTGGGAATCAAGCCTTTGCCCCCGTGGGGTAAGAATTACAGCGAGTCTGTAACACTGATGGGAAGGATCTACTAATGAAAAACTGCTACAGCAAGAGAAAAGGGGGAAAACTTCTCCAAAGGTATCCTTGAACAGGTACGAGGGGCAAGGCCCAGTTCCCGAGAGGCTGGCTTAGAGAGAACGGTTCGGTTCATGCAAAGCGACTGGCAGGAAGGGAAGAGTATATATGGACACAGATTCTTGTGGGAAACTTCTGGAAGTTCTCTTCTGATTGCTTCTGTTTTCTCAGTGAAACAGGAAGCAAGGTAAGCAGCTGGAAATGAAGACAAGGCGGCGTGCTGAGGTAAGACAAGATGATGGTAGGAACTATCGTATTCCAGCCATTCTAAGATGCAGTTTCCCTACATGCTAATGTCTCCATAATTGGGATGCATCTTAAAATCAATGACAGGGAACCTCCCCTGGTGGTGCAGCGGTTGAGCGCTGGGCTGTGAGGCTGCCCGCAGCCTCTGTAGCGCCGGTTCGTTCCCTGGCCGCCAGAGAGGGTCCCACAAAAAAATAAATAAATAAATAAAAAATAAAAAATCAGTGGCAGGATGACATCTTAGATTTGGTGAAATATAACCGCTTTCCTAGGAACGTGGGCAAATGAATGGACTAGCTTGCTAGGACTGAGGACCCACAAGAGCGAGCAGTAGTCATGAATTTAAAGTGAGACCAGTGCGTACGCCTGGTTTTTCTCCATTCGGAGCTGTGGAGTAAAGGTTCGGAGGGATGGAAAGCTGGATCCAACTAGATTTGCTTGGTGTGATGAGAGCGCAGGTGGCTGAGTGTCTCTGAAAGAAGATACATGGATGACTGTGAAACCTGAGCTGGGCCAGGAGGCGAGGATGGGGGGAGGGGAGGGGAAGGAGAGGGGAAGGGTGGGAGGATCAAACATGCCAGGCTTGGGGGAGCTATTTATGGCCTCTGGGTATTGGTGACCAGGCAGACATCTTAAATGGAGATTCTAACACGATGAAGGCATTGGGGGTGGGGCTGGGGCCAGGCAGGTGTAGCCGAGGTGAGAGAGTGGCTACAACAGGGTAGAGGATAAGCTCATGGAAGTGGTGGTCCGGGAGCTGAGAGGGCAGGATACTGAAAGGAGCATCCACAGAAAACCCCAGAGAATTTGTGAGGCAAGCTACTGAAGAGCGACAGGTCACCTTCTGGGGAAAACCTTAAGCGGAGATTTAGGCATTAGCAGATGATGGTAAGAAGAGGGCAGTGGGTGGTCTAGTCTGAGCACTGGGGTTTCTATGCAAGAAGGAGGTTCTGGGAGTGGCAACAAGGACCAAGATATCCACTTTCCTGGCCCAAAGCTGCCAGAGGTATCAGAGAAAAGTTACAACTTGATAGGGGAGAAGTAGTGTGCTCAGAAGAAAGGCAGGTTTTACTACAGCAAGGGAAGGAGGAGGGCGAGTCTGGAGAAGAGGCTGAGGATACAGGGGTTCTGTTGCTAATATCTCAGCAGGATCTGGATGGCAAAGTGGACAGGAACAGGTGTGGGTACGAAGTGGATGAACAAAGCAGATGCAGAGCTGTGAGCTCAGGAGAGCCCATGGGATGAGGGTAGCCTGGATGTTTGTGGCATTTGGGGTGACTGAAAAGAGCAAAAGCAAGAACAAGGGGGACAATAGGGGTCTCCAGGCAGATAAAGACATGAAACTGAATGGCAGCAATGGCCTGAGAAGGGTGGGTGAGAGAAGGGGTCTTTTTTCCTTTTTTTTTTTAAATATTGATTGATTGATTGATTGATTTATGCATACAAGCACTGGGTACAGTCAGAAGCGCGGGAGGGTGAGAGAATTCACCAGAGCCAGAGTGGGGAACAGAACAGGCAGACTGACGAAATACACTGGTGAGGGGAACGGCGGGCGCGGCAGGAGAGGTCTGCGCACCATGTGGGACTCTCGCGGTGGCCGGGGATCAAACCGGCACTGCAGAGGCTGCGGGCAGCTTTGCAGCCCAGCGTTCAACCGCTGTGCCACCAGGGGAGGCCCGAGAGAAGGGGTCTTTTAGAGACAAAGATAATGTAAAGGTCACAGACTTAGCAGATAAAAGATAGTGCTGAATTTCATATGAAAATATGAGTTCCCTAAATTTGGCAGTTGCATAAAAAAACTGAAATAAGAACTTTTTGTAAAGCAGCAACATTGCCCATTGAAAAATCTCACCAAGGTAAGCAATGTTATCAATCTTTGACAAGCAGGGCCTCCCCGGTGGCGCAGCGGTTGAGCGCTGGGTTGCGAAGCTGCCCACGGCC